ATATAAACTTTAAATACTTATAACTCATAAACTACTAGCCCCAAATTCGAGTTTTATGTATCAAAATACTTAGAAAAATATCCTGCTTTGGAATATGAAATTAAAACTCTATGTTGTCATTCAAAAAAGTAAAAAACATAAAAAATATTTAAAAATATAATTTTTTAATAAAAACTTTGGTTTTTTAACAACTTGAAATAATGAGTGTTGTTTGATAAATCAATCACTCTGTATATGCATACAAACTTATTTTTTTAATTGAATTACAGATTATTTATTTAAAAAAAAAAGTTTATGTATAGAAAATGTCTTTTACGTACCTTAAGGGTACAATAAGAATATGAGATAATTTACTGTGAAATTGAAATACTTGTTAGAAGAAGCCATTAAGTAACAATTTTGTTTTATCGATTTTATGATTAATGTACGATTTAACCGAATAATTGTTGACATAACTACGTGAAAAATATTTAACAAATTAAGTGTGACTTCCAACAAACTATCAACAATTTTAACCATACCATACTGTTACCATACGTAACATACTTATACAATAGATGGACCAAAAAAAATTACGCAAATGAACGAATTTCTTTACTCTAGATTTATGAATGAGGATAAAAGCACTATTATCATACCGATGCTACTTCAGGTCAGAGACCTTTAATGKCAAACGATATACCTAATTTTTCATTTTAGGTATAGCTGTTTTCAAAAGATTGTTCACCGGGAGAAAAGGTTTTTATTTGTTTTTGTTTTGTTTTRTTTTTATTTTTAGTTATTTGCCTTTTTCTCGAAATAGCTCAACCACGTTTTTTAAACTCAAATATTGCAACGGCGAGTGAACAATAAATTAAGTAAACTAGAATGAGTATTGGTTTTCTTTTTTTTCAACGTTTGTGTGCCGATCGAACACTTAATTATGAAATACGAGGTTAGTGCTATGTACAGTATTCTGCAATAGTTTAATAAACAATTGTTTCGTTTTACCATGGTGGTTTTCAAATAGCTCTGTTTCACGTTATGATGTATGCACTGTACGTATTGCATGTAACACGCATAATATATTGACTGTAACTTACTCACCCACTAGTATTGAAACATTCTGAATAAATATAATAGAAATAATAATCATGAAAAAATAACCGAGAAGTCGCTTTACTGTGTAGTGAACTTCWATTTTACTTCTCCATCGAACAGGTCATTGTACGTAAATTATTATTGTACTCTGTCCATTGATAACTTATATGTATATATATATATTAATAATAAGCTATACGTTTAAATTTTTATTTTCTTACGACGTAGTCTGTTCATAAAAATAATTAAAATTTCCTATAACAACCTACGATTTCTTAAATTTTTAATGATAAAAAGTGATTTTAATAGAAATCRAAAATAATAAATAAACTCATTAAATGTATATCCTCTAAAACTATCGTCAAAGTTGCTTACATTGTCAAATGTCGAAATAGTTTTAGTGTAAACGTCGATCTGTGTAATCTTAACATTTCAAGTGAAGACATTCACACGATCGACATGATTTMAAACAAAAACTCACCGTGAATGTCCCACGGGGCCTGTAAGTCAACGAGTATACATTTTCAACTCGAAAAAAAAACATACACACCCAAATAACAAAGTTACTTTTACAACCATTTCCACCACTCAGTGTAATTTYAAACAACGCTAAAATCCGCGTTCATTAATCACCGACCTCTTTTTAAAGTTTTAGTAAATTTGCCAAACTTAAATGAAACGTGAAATTGATGTTCACCAAATATTAACTAATTATTTTAATTTTTTGWTTTTAGCTTGTCGAACAAAACAATTTCAAACAGTATTTAAGGATAATATATCAGACCATCGTTTATGTACGGCTAATGCAATATTATTTGTATGAACTATTTATGGAACATWAAAGATTGCAGGTTAACATACATTTATTATTATTWTTTTTTTTTTTTACATAATATATAGTTAAATATAAGTGCAGCTTTACTAATCGAAAATAATTTGTCTATATACTGTGACAGTTAACAAAATCAAAGTAAAATAACTCGTCAACGGTCGAAGCAAGCGTAGATCAGGTTAAACTGTGCAGGCGGAGGTGTGGTTTAGCGAATTAAATAGTTATCGACGGAATTAGGAAAGTATATTTTCATTGTTTATAAATCGTTATTAAGAATTTWAGGAGGAGCGGATTATTTAACGACAACAGCAATAGGTAAGTTTTCCCAATAACTCCGTCCCGGCTGTTCCATGGAATCGGATTAAATGTGTCGAGTTTTGAAGTACAAGRCACTCGAATTTAAATGCATATTATCATATTGTTATATCGATCAAAATAATTCAGGGTTTGTGGGTTCTGTATGTCTGGAGATATTCTCTCGACTAGCTGCCGACTGCGAGTGAACGAGACACAAATAATAGACGAATCGCTTTTAGTACCATATGTGTCGTTTGCAGTCTGATTTTCCTGTCTACGTGCAGTTGTATTTGGAYRGGCGTAAGTATCATAGATAGGGTGTCATAAACTTAACTATAAGTGCACCACGTGTTCGCAAATACGCATTACACCTTGGTCACATTATTGGGGTAGGTGGTGACTGTCGTGACAAGTCCACACTCGACACTCACCTGTGGTCAAATAAAACCAWTTCATATTACTGTAMAGATGCTCGTCAACTGATATCGTGTTTGTATTGGTGGATGTATAGAGTACCTCTCGAATAACGAATGGTACGCAGTAAAATGGTCAAACACTGGAATTCGAAGAAATATTATCCAAACGATGGATGATTATATATTATTATATATAACATATTATATACAAAATCATGTCCTGGGAAGTCTRATCAAACAAACSAGGTGATTTGATGACATCGCTTGTACCTTTTCTGCACTTAAATGGCACTGCAGGTTTTCAAATTATGATTTTTGGAATTTTTAAGTATGCCGGAAGACCACATGTGTTCTCAAATACTTACGACTTTTATGATATTTGAAACGGTATTTTGTTTTTCGAATACATTTTTTTTTATTTACTAAATGATTTTTGTTTAAATTTGGTATATAAATAAAGTTTTTTTTTTTTTAAACCACTATAATATTAGAGTTTCTATTAGAGTTTCTAAACTTTAAATACTAAAAAGAATACTATTGAATTAACCAGAAAATATTTTATGCCTATAACATTATGATGATTTTATAATTTGTAAATCTCTAAATAATAATCAATTGACTAAGTACCATATCGATGTTATGTACCACGTAAGATTATCAATTAAGGTACCTTACCTATACTCGTATAAGTATATATTACAAACTTAAATGTATTGTATTTAAATATTCAGTAAACTAAATAATCCTTAAAATATATTATTAAATATTAATAATTGTTCAATCAATAAACACCGATATTTTCAAAAAAAATCATCTGCTTGCCAATTTTTGTTAAAAATGCATTATATTTCGAAAAATAAAAATTTATGTCAGCACATTCCAGTCAATATAATATTATGACATAAATATTCTAAACATTTCATTTGGTAGGTGCGCTTAAGAATTTCTAAAATCATAATAATTTGAAGAGATTAATGATTTTAGGTAACGAAGTTTAACCTAATATATCCATGTAGTTTACCACGGTATTTCACTTAGATTAATAAATAAATATTTTATGTAATAATAAACTATTAAAACGGTTTGGGTAGGTCAAATGATTATAACATCATTTGACGAAGGCCCAGGTTCATACAACTGCAACGTAAAGTTAACATTTATGAACTAAAAACTATTATGATGCAAGAGCTATTAACGGAAATACATTTGCTTTTTTAAATTAGCGCAATGTAAAATAATTCTAATTTTTCATATTATTTTTTGTGACAGTTTATTTTTATACGACCAGACTACTTCATTAATTTTGAATTAGTTTTCAACTTATACATCATAAATAATAATATATTCAATATTACAATAATAAAAAACTACGCTTTTTAATTTGTATCACATAATACGGAACTAATTTCAGTTTTGTTGGCTTTTGAATAAAATATTTATTTTTTGAATTGCAAACATATACTATATTAGTATGAGGTGTTAATGGTGTCATCTGGAATAAAACAGTTAACTTGTTCAAAGACGAATAATAAGTTTGTTGAATTATTTAGATATTTGTTAAAATATATAAAAAAAAAACACAATATTTAAAAATAAAAAATGTATCAAGTCACAACTGTGACGGATCAATTTTACTAAATAAACATTATTCAATTTTTGTAAACACCACATACATGTACTTATATAACGTATACAAACATTTTAAAATCAACCAAAAAATACATTAATACGTAGTGTGTAGGTACTTAAAAAAATATTTGAAAAAGTGTTATAACGCTATATAATAATATATTGGCACTTAAGTTTTTTTTTTTTCAAGACTCATCATCAACCTAAAAACACTATTTTATCCTTTTATTTTACGCTCTTATAATAATATGTATTTTAGTCAAATGTAAATATTTTA